CCATGGTGGTCCCCACCTCGGGCTCTTAGCGCTCTTGCCCTTCTGTCCCACCAACCTTTACATGCTCGGCTGCTTCTCGTCATTCACCTCAGAAGGGTCTTCACTGACCAGCCCATGTAAAACAGGCCCCTCCCCAAGCCCCCAGCACTTTGCTGTCATACGTCACCTTGTTTTTTTGTTTTGTTTAGAGAGGGAGAGAGGGAAAGAGGAGGGTGGAGGGGCAGAGGGAGAGCAAGAGAACCTCAAGCAGGCTCTACATCCAGCGAGGAGCCCGGCGCAGAACTCGCTTCCACAACCCCGAGATGATGATTCGAGCCAAAATCAGGAGTCGGACGCCCAACCAACTGCACCACCCAGGAGCCCCCTGTCACCTTGGTTTACATTCTTTAGAGCACTTACCACCATAACCCTGCATGTTCGTCTCAGACTTCCTTGTCAATTGCCTCTCTTCCCCCCTAGACTAGCATGGACTTTCTCTGGTTTGTTCACTGCTATAGCCCGGTGCCAGGAATAGTGCCTGGCATCGAGTAGGTCTCCAATAAACTGGCTGAGTGAAAATAAGAACAAATACAGAGCGTGTCAAGGAATTGCAGGCGGGGTGTGGCTCTGCAGTGCGGGGCCCCCAGGGCAGCAGAGCCCCACCTCTTATAACACTGCAGCTCTTCCTGCACCACCAGCAGCTGGGACTTGAGCTTGTTGCGCTCCTGGAGCACGTCCCGCAGCTCTTGGAGAGTGAAGCGTGGTCGGTTGGGATCTGTCAGGTCAACCACCATTTTGTCCGGCCCCAGGTTTACCTGCGAGAAAAGACGTTGGTCGCTTATACGGTTTCCCTCATGAGGATGGACTGTCCACCCCAAAAAGGCAAATCTTGTTTGTTCACACTTAAAATTTAAATATTTAAATTAGTTCATTAACGGGGATGTGATGGTTAATTTTATGTGTCTACTTGACTGGGCTAAGGATTGCCCAGATAGCTGGTTAAACGTTATTTCGGAGTGTGTCTGTGAAGGTGTTTCTAGAAGATATTAGCATTTGGACTGATGCACTGAGTAAAGCAGATGGCCTTCCCTGATGGGTGGACGGGCATCATCCAATCCACTGAGGGCCTGAAGAGAACAAAAAGTGGAATGAGGGTAAATTCTGAGCTCTGTCTGTTGGTGTGGGACACCCTTCTTCTCCTGCCCTCAGACATTGACACTCCTGGTTCTTGGGCTTTTGGTTCCAGACCAGGACTTACACCATCAGCCCACCCCACCCCTGAGTTCACAGGACGTCCTGGTTCTCCAGCTTGCGAACTGAAGACTGTAAGACTTCTCAGCCTCCATAACTGCATGAGCCAATGCCTCAAATAATATCCCCTTTATGTCGATAGCTATATCCCCTATTGGTTCTGTTTCTCTGGGGAACTCTGATTAAAACAGGAAATGAAGAGGAGCAGAAGGCCAATTAATGAGTGTACAAGATGAGAGAGTAGAACACTGATCCTTTTGGGGCGCCTGGCTGGCTCAGTCGGTAGAGCGTGAGATTCTTGATCTTGGGGTTGTGAGTTCAAGCCCCATGTTGGGTGTAGAGATTACTTAAAAATAAAATCTTTTTTTTTAAGGTTTTATTTACTTATTTGACAGAGAGAAACATAGCTAGACAGAGAACACAAGCAAGGGGAGTGGGAGAGGGAGAAGCAGGCTCCCCGCCGAGCAGGGAGCCCGATGCGGGGCTTGATCCCAGAACCCTGGGATCGTGACCTGAGCCAAAGGCAGATGCATAACGACTGAGCCACCCAGGTGCCCCAAAAATAAAATCTTTACCAGTGGGGCACCTGGGTGGCTCAGATGGTTAAGCTGACTGCCTTCGGCTCAGGTCATGATACCAGAGTCCTGGGTTGGAGCCCTGCATCAGGCTCCCTGCTCAGCAAGGGAGTCTGCTTCTTCCCTTCCCCCTGCTCATGCTCTCTCACTCACTCTCTCTGTCGTTCAAATAAATAAATAAATAAATAAATAAATAAATAAATAAATATCTTTTAAAAAAATCTTTACCAGAAAAAAAAATCATCCTTTTTTTTTTTTTTTTTAAGATTTTATTTATTTATTTGAGAGGGAGAGAATGAGAGACAGAGAGCACAAGAGGGAAGAGGGGCGGAGGGAGAAGCAGACTTCCTGCTGAGCAGGGAGCCCGATGTGGGACTCGATCCCGGGACTCCAGGATCATGACCTGAGCCGAAGGCAGTCGCTTAACCAACTGAGCCACCCAGGCGCCCCAAAAATCATCCTTTTTTAACCAACTTTGTAATAATTGATTCAGGGGAGACTAATGAATGGATCTAAAACTTTTGGGTGAAAGCTTGTTGGGGAACAGAATATTTTCCACAGTTTTAAAGTATTTTCCCACAAGTACTTGTGAATTACAAAGGGAAATAAAGTCCCCTTTACAGTGCAGAAATCTTGCAGACACCATATTACCCAAGTGATACAAGTTGACATCACCAATAATGACAAATTGAGTCCAGTGCCTCGTGATACAATGCACTATGACACAGCATCCCTTCAGCAGTATTTGTGCTAAACATGTATCACTTGAATTCACCCATGACACCTCAGAACCAACCCCAATTGAAGGACATTCTACAAACCAACTGATACATAATCTTCAAAAATGTCAAGGTCGGGGGACGCCTGGGTGGCTCAGTCAGTTAGGCGACTGCCTTCAGCTCAGGTCATGATCCCAGGGTCCTGGGATCAAGCCCCGCATCGGGCTCCCTGCTCCGTGGGAAGCCTGCTTCTCCCTCTCTCACTCCCCCTGCTTGTGTTCCCTCTCTTGCTGTCTCTCTGTCAAATAAATAAATAAAAAATCTTTAAAAAAAAAGGAAACTGTTAAAACAAAACAATAAAAAAAAAAGTCAAGGTTGTAAAAGACAAGGAAAAGCTGAGGAACTGTTCCAGATTAAAGGTGACTGAAGAGATATGTCAACACCCCGGATTGGGTCCTGCACCAGAAAAAAGATGCTGTAAAGGACATTATTCTGAACTTTGAATAGGGGTAGTATATTAGGTCTTTGTATTCTATCACTTTTTCCCTCTGAATTCGATCATTTACTTGCAGCTATGCAATAGTATGTCTTGTGAGATACTCACTGAAGTATTTAGAGTAAAGGACCCTAATCTTCTACTAATCCTGCAACTAACAAAATGTCTGCTCAAATAGTTGAGGAAAACTAGTAGTGAATAGATAATATATATACATATTATTTTTGTATATGCATATATACATACACATATATGTGTTTTGCGTGTGTATATAAATACTTTGGCGTGTATCTTCTAAGACATACTACACACTACACACGCACACAACTGAAGACACCTGAATCTCAGTGAACGGTATACAGGTATTCATGGTGCTTTTCTGGCAACTCTTCCATAGGTTTGAAATGTTTTCAAACTAAAATTTAAGCAACTGTTTGAAAACAACCTACATGTCCACGAATAGATGCCCAGTTAAATAAAACTAAGGCACAACCACACCACAGTGTTCTCCAGGTGATGGACAGAACGAGACACAGTAGGAAGAGATAATAGTAATAGTGAGCACGTTCCTCCTGTCAGACTGACAAGAATCAGGGTGTTTGAACACTCCCCGCATTGTAAGGGCTGTGGGGAAGCAGGTACCTGTGCTGACTGCCGGAGGAGTGGGTCTCCTTGGCCTCTGGGAAGCGTAATTTAACATTACATATTATCCAAATTTCAGATGCTCCTTCCCTCCGATCCATTTCCTCAAGACACTCTCCCTCAGGAGCCAAATGACATTGGTTAGGATCTTTCGGTGTTGCATGTGCTAAGAGCAAATGATTGGAACATAAACATCTTTTGATAGGAGACTGGTTAAAGCAGAGAATCTTAACCGTTTTTGTGCCACGGACCCTTTTGGCAGCCTGGGAAAGCCCACGTGGCCCTCCTCCAAACAATGTGTTAAAATGTATAAAATGAAAGGCACAAAATTATAAGGAGACCAACTAAGGTGACATACACTCATCAAAATCCTCTAAAAACAAATTTATGATTAATATACCTGCTTCTTTATTAAACAAGGTGAGCTAGACGCAGGGCCAGTGAAATACTGAACAGAAACGAAACTTTGAGATGTGAACTACACTGTAATGGGACATGAAGATATCTGTGATTTCCATCAGTGACTACCACAGGTATTGCTAATATTCCTGTGGTTTGCTGTCTACATTCACAATTGAAGAAAGTGACACATTTCAGTTGGAAGTTAATGAAAATATAATTTTTTTCCCATGCAAGGACATGGGCCTCTTGGATTAGAATCAACGATCCCCTTGGGTGTCCAAGAACTTCAAGTTAAGAACCCTCAGCTGGGGCTCCTGGGTGGCTCAGTTGGTTAAGCGTCTGCCTTTGGCTTGGGTCATGATCCCAGGGTCCTGGGACAGAGCCCTGCACTGGGCTCCCTGCTCCGTGGGAAGCCTGCTTCTCCCTCTCCCACTCCTGCTGCTAACGACGGAGCCACCCGGGCGCCCATTATTCAGGCTTTAAAAGGAAGGAAATTCAGATACAAGCCACACCATGGATGGACTCTGAAGATATTATGTTAAGTGAAATAAGCCAGTGACAGAAGGACAAATACTATACAAGTCTATTTATATGAATATAAGTAGAATAGTGGAATAGGCAAGTTCATAGAGATAGAAAGTAGACAGGGGGAGGGGGAGTAGGGAGCTGGTGTTTACTGTGGACAGAGTTTCAGTTTTGCAAGATGAAAAGAATTCGGGCAGGAATGGTGGGTGATAGTTGCACAACAATGTGAATGTACTTAATGACACTGAAGTGTGCACTTAAAAATGGTTAGGGTGGTAAATTTTACATGTAATTTACCGCAATTAAAAATAATTTAAAAACCCAAAAAAAATAATAAGGTGTATTTTTATGAACTGCCTCGTGATGCTAAACTAATTCATTCTCTCTGCCCTTTTCCCCACCCCTGTTCTTAAGACTGCGGTTTGGGAGGAAAATGCCTTCTCATCTGCTGGTTGATAAAGCTTGTCCACTGTGCCCCACAGAGGAAATCACCCGGGCCCCGTGCAGAGCACGCTGTACACGGTCTGTGGTGGGGGCCCCCTCCATATCCTTGTTCCTGGGGTTGGAGGTGGCAGGGATGAGCTCAGAACGTGAGCTGAGCCACTCTGAGCAAGTCACTTAACTTCTCTTGAGTCTCAAAAGCCAGACTGTGATCATGATACGCAACTATCTCGTATGATGGACACTAAAGTAGAAAATGTATCTACAAGTACAGTTGTCACTGGGACGAACAAGTAGCTGACATAAGTGTACCAGGGAAGTGACCAGAAACCTTCGCTCTTATTTCCCTGCAAATGTCAGTGACCCTGTTCCTCCTGTCCTTTCTTGGCACGCTTCTCAGTTTGTGATCTTGTACTGCAGTTCTGGAGGTGTGGGTGTCTTACCTCTCCCACTAGACAGGAGCTCTGTGAGGGCAGGGTCCCCGTCTAATTTACCTCTGCAGCCCCAGGGTCCAGCACAGTGCAATCACTCATCAAATGTCATTCCAACAAATAAGGTCGAATATGTGTATTTCGTGTGCGGTGGTGAAGACTGGCATCTCTGAGTTCAAATCCTGCCTTCACCTCTTACTTGCAGTAATTCCTTTGGCAAATTACTTAACTGTTCTATGCCTCATTTCTGTAAAATGGATATACTGATAGTAAGAGGAATAAATGAGATAGTCCACTTAGAGCAGCTTTTTTTTTTTTAAGTGTGGCTGGAGACCCCTTAGTAATTCATATTGATTTAATCAATTGCAACAAGAATTTAAAAACTCATAAAAATAGAATAGGCAAGTAAAGTGATTCCTGGGTGGCTCAGTTGGTTAAGCGTCTGCCTTTGGCTCAGGTCACAATACCGGGGTACTGGGCTCCTTGCTCAGTGGGGAGCCTGCTTTTCCCTCTGTCGGCCACTCCCCCTGCTCTCTCTCTCACAAATAAAACCTTAAAAAAAAAAAAGAATATGCAAGTGTGATTGTGCATCATATTTAATAAGGGTGAGTTAAGATAAATTGTTTCTTAAAACTTTTGTTTCATCAATACTGGAAAGCGCTATAATTGGTAATTTTGTAAAATGGAGGTATAACATACATGAACTAATCTTGAGTTTATAGCTTGATGATTTTTTAAAAATATTTCTTCACTTCCTCAAGCTTTTTTTTTCTTAATTAATATGTCAGAGAGAGAGAGGGAGAGCACAAGTAGGGGTATCGGCAGGCAGAGGGAGAAGCAAGCTCCCCACTGAGCAAGGAGTCCAACATGGGGCTCAATCCCAAGACCCTGGGATCATGACCCGAGCCGAAGGCAGACACCTAACGACTGAACCACCAAGGCGCCCCGCTTGATGACTTTTTTAAAAAAGATTTTATTTATTTACTTTAGAGAGACAGAGCACATGCATGCATGAGCAGGGGAAGGAGCAGAGGAAGAGGGAGAGGGAAAGAGAGAATTTTCAGCGGACTCCCCACTGAGTGCAGAGCTGGACCAGGGGTGGATCCCACAACCCTCAGATCATGACCTGAGCCAAAACCAAGAATCTGAACTTTAATGGACTGAGCCACCCAGACATCCCTTGATGATTTTTAACATAGGTACACACCCATGTAATCACACCCAGATGTGCTCCCTATGAACTCCCCCCCCCCACCAACTGGAGCTACCATCAGTCTTCTATAAATACAGATTATTTTGCCTGTTGTTGAATTTCCCATAAATATATATAGTAGGCTCTCTTTTGTTCCTGGCTCCTGTCCCTTAGCGTAACATCTGAGAGTCACGCACACAGTTGTGTGTATCAGCGCTCTGCTCTTTTTCACTACCGTGTAGTATTGCACTGTGTGACTATACCACAATTTTTAAAATCCATTCTGTTGCACTTGTTCCAGTTTGGCACAATTCTGAATAAAGGTGCTCTGAATATTCTTATAGGCGTCTTTTGGTGGTCACAGCACTGATTCCTCTCACTTAAAATTTACTTCTTATTCTAGGTCAAGATTCTCAGAATGCGATGGCACTTGTCACAAATGCAGGTTCTCAGGTCCCATCCCAGACCTGCTGAATCAGAAACTCTGGGGCCAGGGCCCTGCAATCTGGGCTTTAACGAACACTCCGGGTGGTTTCGCTGCAGGCTAAAGCTTGAGAGCCACTGAGCTAGGTCAAGTCAAAAAGGCTCGAAGCCCCTGATTCAGAACTAACGCAGCCCAAGTAAGTGCACCTATTAAGTGCTCGATAAATGTAACTTTGAGGATGCTTCTCATCTGAGGACTGGGTGGGCGCTGTGGTCGTTTTCAGGCGCTCGGTTATTCCTGGGAGAGCGGCCTCCGGGCCACTGGGAGCTCCCCTCCCACGCAGCCCAGGCTGCCCCCGCAGGGCCCGGAATCCGGCACTCACCTGCCCGCCGGCCGCCGAGCCCTCTGTCCGCAGCCCCTCCACCTCCTTCCTCAGGTTGTCCCTCTCCATCCTCAGCTCCTCCACCGTCAGGTTGCCCTCATTCACCAGCGTCTCCAGCATCTCCAGGACGCGGACGATCTTGAACTGCAGCTGTGTCACCCGGGGATCGCTGCCCAGGGCCATCAGCTCGCGGCCCATCACGTAGGAGATGTCATACACGTCCTCGGTCGTCAGCTGGAAGGGGCTCTTGCCCAAAGCCCCTTCGGGCCCAGCCTCGTCCCCTTCCTCCTCCTCTTCTTCCTCCTCCTGTCGCAAAGGGGGCTCCTCCATGGCCACCCAGACCCCCGCAGCTGCAGGAGCAGCCTTCTCAGAATCCCCAACCCTCCAACTTCCTCCTGGCTCAGAAAACTTTCCGCGGGGTAGAGACCCTGCCTGCCCCGGGCGGGAGGGGATGGCCCAGGAGCGGCCAATCAGCGCAGCCGAGGGGTGGGCCCGGGGCAGAAAGGCCGCGCTCCGGGGCTTCCAGGCCCGGACACGGGGTGCACCGGCCCCTCTTGAGTACCGTGCAGGAGGGCGGCCCCCAGGATGTGGTTTGGGGCACGAAAAGACAACAGAAAGGGAGGACAGCCGAGAAGAGGAACGGAGAGGTTAAGGGGTGACCGCGATTGCTCCCGGCTGGGAGTATTGCAAACTGGGTGGGGGAGGGGCGGCCGCCGGAGCCCCGCCCTTGGTGACAGGCGCCACCGCTGCCGGGTTTCCATGGAGACGGGGGTGGAGTTTCCACCTCCAGTATGGGCAAGAGGGTAAAAAGCACACAACTTTTTCCTTTCTATGCTCAAGCTTTTCAGCCATAGAATTTGCATTCTACGTGGAGGAAGATCCGGGTCTGTGTTTGGGGGGTATTTTCAGAAGCCTGCGGCAAAACAGAGGACATTTGTTGGTGTCTGCGCGTGGGAGTCAAGAGACCTGGGTTGCACAAAACTCCCGGGCCCACTGTCGCCGGGACCTGCGGAATCTGACTCTCAATAAAATGGAGAATCCCTGCGCTGTGCCCTTTGCGTATTCCTGGGCTCCTCCCGTTAACTCAGCTTTGCAGCCTCGGCAAATTACTTAACCCTCAATTTCCTGCTCAGTGAATAACAGCACCTATGTGGTAACGTTGCTGCAGGAACATATTAAGATGAGGTCATGAGATAATGTGTGTGACAGAAGTACTTAGGAAGTACTCAAAAAACGTTAACTTGTATTCGTCATTCTGCCCTCCAAACATTAAACTTGTGTGGGACACACGTAGCACATGGGTTGGGTTGGAAGGAGTAATAAACAAGTAAAAAAATCACTCTCTGCTTTGAAAGTTAGAAAGCATTCTACGGATAGGGTATTAGAATATTAGCAGCGTGGATTACAAAGCGAGTTACTTTAGGTTTGATTAGAAAATTTTTTTTACAGATTTTATTTATTTATTTGACAGAGACACAGCGAGAGAGGGAACACAAGCAGGGGGAGAGGGAGAAGCAGGCTTCCTGCCAGGTAGGGAGCCCAATGTGGGGCTAGTTCCCAGGACCCTTAACGACTGAGCCACCCAGGCGCTCCGTTATTAGAAATTTCTAATAGTCATAGGCAGAAAACTTAACAATGGAGCTTGTCTATTTTTCCCAGGAATATATTGCTAGCTTTCTTTGTGGTAGATGTGCCTGATTTTCTCTACACTGAGATTCCAGCAACCCCATGTTGAGTGGCCAAGGATAAAATAAGCAAAAACCAAAGCAAGCAAACAAAATAGACACTATTTTCAGAGGGTACAATGTTCTAATGATCAAAACCAGGTTTCTGGGCAAGGGCTCAGTAATTCATAAATCACAGATGTGACTACACCCAGTGATTAAATGAGATGAAATGTTAAGCTTGCCATAAATAAAATATGGTGTATCCACACAATGGAATATTATTCTACCATAAAAAGGAATGAAGGCCCAGAAATAAACCCTTGCAAATATGGTCAAATAATTTTCAACAAGGGTGCCAAGACCATTCTTTGGGGAAATGACAGTCTTTTCAACAAATGTTGTTAGAAAAATTGGATACCCACATGTAAAAGTATGAAGGTGGACCCCTTGCCTTACACCATATATAAAAATTAACTCAAAATAGATCTAAGACATAAAGCTATAAAACTCTTAGAAGAAAACATAGGGGAAAAGCTTTATGTCACTGGATTTAGCAATGATTTCTTCAAAAGCACAGGCAACAAACGAAAAAAATAGTTAACGGGACTATATCAACATTTAAAACTTGTGCATCTAAGACCACAATTAACAGAGTGAAAAGGCAGCCTACAGAATGAGTGAATATATTTGCAAGTCATATCTAATACGGGGTTAATATCCAGAATGAATATGTAGTAGGAGAGGTGTATATGTATCTCCTACAATGCAATGAAAAAAAAAACCCTAAATAACCGATTAAAAAATACGCAAAGTAAAAATAGATGCAAAATCCTTAGCAAGATACTAGTAAACAGAATTTAGCACTACAAAAAAATTATGTAACATGACCAAGTAGGGTTTATTCCAGGGATGCAAGGCTGGTTCAGAAAAGACAATCTATGTAATCCACCATATTAACAGGCTAAAGATTACACACACACACACAACTATTAGAGCTAATAAACAGCTCAAGGTTGCAGAATACAAGATCAATATACAAAAAATAATTGTGGGGCGCCTGGGTGGCTCAGTTGGTTAAGTGGCTGCCCTTGGCTCAGGTTGTGATCTGGGGGTCCTGGGACGGAGCCCTGCATCAGGCTCCCTGCTCAGCGTTCATTTGTGCTCTTTCTCTCTCTCTCTCAAATAAATAAAATCTTAAGAAAAAAAACTAATTTCATTTATATACATTTGCAAGACATAACCAGAAAGTGAAATTAAGAAAATAATTCCACTTACAATGACATCAAAAAGTATAAAATACTTAGAAATAACTTTAACAAAAGAAGAACAAGACTTGCACACTGAAAACTACAAAATATCATTGAGAGGAATTAAGATGTAAAAAATGGAAAGACATCATGTGTTCAAAAATTGTAATAATATGGTTAAGATGGTGATATTCTCCATCTTACATTTCCAGTTGATCTATAGATCAGCATCATTCCTATCAAAATCTGTGCACAAAACAGTTAACATAGCAGGCCCAGGGATACCATCATTTGAAAATCCTGCTTCCAAGGTTGGCCCTTGGCTAGGATCTGGGAATTTGTGTTTGGGGAGGGTTCCACCACCCCAACTGATAAGAGTAGCTCAGTGTGCCTTAACTGTTTATGCAAACAACATAGTTTACCGGCTTTCCTCCTGGGAGTATGGAATTTTGGTATGCGCTAGGCAGAAGGTGCCTGCATGACAAGCCCCCTTAAAAACCTTTGGCACAGTCTCTAATGAGCTTCTCTCATAGACAACATTTCACAGATGTCATAACTCATTACTGGGAAGTTATGCTAAATCAAGCCAGTCACAAAAGACCTCCTATTGTATGATTCCATTCATATGAGATGTCCAGAATAGGCAAGTCCATAGAGAGAGAACATCTACTGCATGCAAAGTCTAGAGTGTTATAGTCAACTGGGCTGTGGAGTTAAGCAGTCTTTGACTTGAACCTTACAATTGCTACTTGCTGGTACATAAGTTTGATCAAGTTCCCTAATCTCTCCAAATCCCTATTTCCTCAATGTAAACTGGGAAAAATAAAAGTATTTCCCAAGAATGGTGTGAAGGTTAGATGAGATAATGCATGAAAAGTGCCTAGTCCAGGGTCTAGCACATCTTAAGCATCAATGGATGCTGTCTATTATTGGCTATTATAAAAAAGTGTTAGTAATCTTAACTCTTAGATCCCTCATAGAATTCAACAATCTGTTGGTAGCTAGTCATGACCCTTCTCTCTCCATCGAGAAATTATGAAAACAATTATGAGTTACAAATTTAGCTAAGGTTCTTAAAAGTGTACTCAGCAGACCACCAGCATTGGGATCACCTGGAAACTTTCCAGCAATGCAAATTCTTGACCCACTGAATCAGAGACTTTGGGAGTGGGCCCCAGCAATCTGTGTTTCCACAGCCCTCCAGGTAATTTTTTTTTTAAGATTTTATTTATTTATTTGAGAGAGAGAGAGAGAGCACAAGCAGGGGGGAGGGGCAGAGGGAGAGGGAGAAGCAGACTCCCCACTAAGCAGGCTCCAGAGCCCTACATGGGGCTCCATCCCAAGACCCCAGGATCATGACCTGAGCTGAAGGCAGACACTTTACTGACTGAGCCACCCAGGCGCCCTGCCCTCCAGGTAATTCTAATGCATGCTCAAGTGAAAAACAGTAAGTGATAGCACAGTGTTCAAAGGGGTGGGTTCGAGACCAGATCACAAGTGTGAAATTGTGATTGACTCTGCCACTTGCATGCTGTGTGATGTTAGGCAAGTAAATTGTGCCTTTACTCAGGGGCTCAGTTTTCCCAGCTGTAATACGGGGTAATGATATAATCTAGTTTGTGAGATTGTCGTGAAGGCTTTAGAACAGTGTCTGGCACATGGTAAGTACCCAAGAGATGTTGGCTGTTATTGTTACTATTATTTTAAAAAATTTTATTTATTTATTTATTTATTTATTTATTTATTTATTTATTGCGCACAAGTGGGAGGAGGGGCAGAGGGAGAAAGGGAATCTCCAGCAGACTCCGTGCTGAGCATGAAGCCCAACATGGGGCTCCATCCCGCAACCCTGAGATCATGACCTGAGCCAAAATCAAGAGTTGGACGCTCAACCGACTGAGCCACCCAGGCGCCCCTATGTTGGCTATCATTATTATTATTATAAGCTACTTTTATCACCTAAATATGAAATATAAGATATTTCCCAAGTTCATATAATTATTGGAGAACCAGATATGGAAAGCTGGATTAGCAATGTAGAATAGATTTACAACAAAACTTTTTAAAGTCACAAGATATATCAAAGATTTTTTTTTTTAAGACTTTATTTATTTGACAGAAAGAGAGCACAAGCAGGGGGAGTAGCAGGCAAGAGAGTGGGAGAAACAGGCCCCCCACTGAGCAGGGTGCCCAATGTGGGCCTCGATCCCAGGTTGCTGGGATCATGACCTGAGCCAAAGGCAGATGCTCAACTGACTGAGCCACCCAGGCGCTCCGATCATGATACAAAGTTTTATTTATTTATTTATTTTTAAAGATTTTATTTATTTATTTGAGAGAGAGAGAGAGAGAGAGCACATGAGCGGGGGAAGGGTCACAGGGAGAAGCAGACTCCCTGCTGAGCAGGGAGGCTGATGCGGGACTCGATCCTGAGACTCCAGGATCATGACCTGAGCCGAAAGCAGTCGCTGAACCATCTGAGCCACCCAGGCACCCCATGATACAAAGTTTTAAAAAGAATTTCAAAAACACTCTTCCTCTGAGATTTAAGACCATGTATGCAGCTGCACTCCACCCCCCCCACCGCCCCGCCTTTGAGTAGAAACCAAAG